GCCGGACAAGGGGGTGGCAAACGAACGCAAAAAACGGGTGTCACGAAACATTTGGACTGATTAGGTAACCACCAAGACGCCTGGGCCTGTGGCCTCGGCGGATAGTAGTAGCAGCAGCAGCAGGAGCAGGAGCAGGAGCAGGAGCAGGAGCAGGAGCAGGAGCAGGAGCAGGAGCAGGAGCAGGAGCAGGAGCAGGAGCAGGAGCAGTAGCAGTAGCAGTAGCAGTAGCAGTAGCAGTAGCAGTAGCAGTAGCAGTAGCAGTAGCAGTAGCAGTAGCAGTAGCAGTAGCAGTAGCAGTACCAGTACCAGTACCAGTACAGTAGGCAGTGGCAGTGGCAGTGGCAGTGGCAGTGGCAGTGGCAGTGGCAGTGGCAGTGCAGCAGTGCAGTGGCCAGTGGCAGTGGCAGTAGCAGTAGCAGTAGCAGTAGCAGTAGCAGTAGCAGTAGCAGTAGCAGTAGCAGTAGCAGTAGCAGTAGCAGTAGCAGTAGCAGTAGCAGTAGCAGTAGCAGTAGCAGTAGCAGTACAGTAGCAGTAGCAGTAGCAGTAGCAGTAGCAGTAGCAGTAGCAGTAGCAGTAGCAGTAGCAGTAGCAGTAGCTAGCAGTAGCAGTAGCAGTAGCAGTAGTAGTAGTAGTAGTAGTAGTAGTAGTAGTAGTAGTAGTAGTAGTAGTAGTAGTAGTAGTAGTAGTAGTGATAGTAGTGGTAGTGGTAGTAGTAGTAGTAGTAGTAGTAGTAGTAGTAGTAGTAGTCGTGGTGGTGGTGGTGGTAGTAGTAGTAGTAGTAGAGTAGTAGTAGCTGCCAGAAGTAGATGTAGAAGTAGCAGTAGCTGGTCTACTTCTGAAACTGGTGGTGAGCATGTGCGATAACAGCGGTCTCGTTTTCAGATCATGAGGACAAGGATGGTGATGACCGCTATCGAGATGGTGAAACTGATGCCCATGCTGTCTGATGTCACGCTGGTAGTGATGATGTTAGTCCTACTCCTACTGATAAGCAGGAAAAGTTGTCCAGTATTCTGGTGTGTTGCTGCTGCAGCGGCTGCTACTCTACTGCTATTTTTGTTGTTACCGCTTTTGCGATGGGGCAGTGAAGAAGAATGCGATGTAATGTTGCTTGGCGCTGCTAGACAATGCAGCAGCTGCTGCTCCGGCTGCTGATGAAGATATTCGTGATCAGTTGTGATGTGACATGCCTGTGTGAGGAGACTACCAGCAACCAAGACAGGTTGTCAAAGTGCAGAAAACAGTGCAGGTACATACTGCCTGGACTGGTTTACTCCCAGGCGGTGGGCTGTCTGCCGTCCTTCGTCGGACAAATTCGGAAGACTGTACAAAGAATTTCCTCTGCACGGAGATCTCACTTGCACATTCACAGACTCTGAGAACTCTCTGCGTAGAAGTCCCTTCTTCGCAGTCTAGGGGCATTGGAGCGGCTTCCTTATTTGCTGCATTGCCTGCTTTGTGCAGGCCTTTCCTCACTTTCACGCCAAGCGCGGGCTTGCAATTGGTATGCTCCTGCTAGGCCTGCACACTGCGGGACAGGGCGGGGTTGTCAGGAGCTGTTTTATTGTAAGTTTTGGGTCCGAAGGCTGGTCGACGAACGTCTTTGACAGTTTATAGTTTACAGTCATAGACATGCATCTTGCTTCAGCCACTGATGTAACGCCGCTGCAACTTTCATGAGATCTGACATCTCAGCTCCTTTCGGCAGCTCCTGCGTAGTTCCACAGCCTCTGCGCAAACAAATCCTCAACACCGAGGACACTTCAGGACACATTCCCGAATCCTTGCTGACTTTGTGTGTGCGGATGCACTGCGAGGTTGCCTGATCATGCCGACATGCCTGACTTTGATCTTCCTTTGACGCGGGCATGGCTCATGCCGAACTTGTGTGACAGCATAGAGTGCCCGCGCAGTCAGGCGTGGAGTTCTTACTGGACCTCTTGGAGATGTCTTGCTAATTTCCATTGGTCGCAGCTGTCACACATTGGGCGGTAGCACAGCTGGGACTTTTTCGCTCCCTCGTGTCACCCAGGGTCAGGGATTCCTTTGTTTCTAGGCATCTGACCCCCTTTTGAGCAAGGTGTTAAAGCCTGAGCACGAAGAAAAGTACACTTGCACCATCCAGCAAGGCCATCCGATTCTCGATTGACCTGTTTACCTTGGTTTTGAGTCATCTATGCTATACACATAGATAGGAACATGCACGAATTTGTACGTACACAGGTGCAGGATATTTGTAGATGCAGCTTAGATATGCATGCCTTCAATCTTGCATGCAGACACCTTTAGGTTGAATATGTGTTCTGTACTGTGCCAGGAAGTGTAGGTGTGTGAATGTGTGTAGGTATGTATGTGCACATGTTCATGAATACAAAGACGTGGATGTGTGTGTGTGTGCATTTGCGTTCACATCTGTTGAACTTGCCATGAATGTATGCATGTATGCATGCATGTATGTTTGAATGTGTACCCATATATGTATGTGTGCATGCCTTGATGGACGGAGGGAGGGATGATGGATGGATGGCTGGCTGGCTGGCTGGCGGGATTGATGGATTGACGGATGGATCGATGCATCGATGGATGCATGGATGGATGGATGCATGGATGCATGCATGCATGCATGCATGGATGGATGGACGGACAGATGCAAGTGTGCATATATGTATGCAATGAGTCTGCATGCATACACACACGGACACGCTACAAACAAAGAAGCATGGCATCATACATTCGGACACTCCGCACACTTACCTGCTTCCATACGGCTCGTGCCTTTGCTCAAGCGACTCTGGTTCCGCCCAGAGCCAGCAACTAGAAGCCGCATCCGTAGAAGTGAGATACATTGCGCAGAAACAGTTTCGACTGCTCTTCTTATACTTGGTGCCATCTGTTCTGCCATCCGATCGCAATTTACTGTGATCACGGCTGGACATTCAGTAGAAGGTTCGGGGGTGACCAAGGTGCCCACGTTCCGTTGCCCTGCCATGGCGAGCTGCGAGGATTTGCAAACGATGGTTGTCAGGCCAGTATTTGTTTTCGTGCTGAGGCTCCGAGCATTGAAGCTCACCACACTTGAATGGAAGGCAACTCTCACCATCATCATCATCATCATGCCAGAGCTGCAGAAGCCTATGGCCTCAAGCGTGAGGTTCAGTTCTTCAAGTTTTCAGGCCAAGCTGGGTGGTGACAAGAATGCACTGCGAGTTGCTTCCTTGGCTCCCACGGCTTGCTGCAGTCAGCCCACGGCTGCCTGCTCACCAGAGACGTCGAGAACAGTCTTTTTTTATTTCGACAAGCTCTTGGCTGGAGCTGGACCTGCGTGTGACTCTAATGTCACGCTCATGCTAGCAGTCAGCAACAGCTCCCTCAACAGGCTGAAACCTCGGAGCCTGCAGAAACCACTACGGAGATGCCGATAAGCTCCACATCCAGCCCTGCAAGCTTCTCCAGGTGCTGTACTCCCTGCAACCTCCCCTAACTGCCTCCGAATCTCAGACCATCGCGTGGGCATCCCTGATTGTCTTTTGGTGAACTGGCGCATGCAAAGTCGAAATAACAAAAGATGTTAGGGGAGATTGCGAGTACAGCACCTGGAGCTGGATGCGGAGCTTATCGGTATCTCCGTAGTGGTTTCTGCAGGCTGCGAGGTTTCAGGCTGTTGAGGGAGCTGTTGCTGACTGCTAGCATGAGCGTGACATTAGAGGCACACGCAGGTCCAGCTCCAGCAAAGAGCTTGTCGAAATAACAAAAGACTGTTCTCGACGTCTCTGGCGAGCAGGCAGCCGTGGGCTGACTGCAGCAAGCCGTGGGAGCCAAGGAAGCAACTCGCAGTGCATTCTTGTCACCACCCAGCTTGGCCTGAAAACTTGAAGAACTGAACCTCACGCTTGAGGCCATAGGCTTCTGCAGCTCTGGCATGATGATGATGATGGTGAGAGTTGCCTTCCATTCAAGTGTGGTGAGCTTCAATGCTGCGGAGCCTCAGCACGAAAACAAATACTGGCCTGGCAACCATCGTTTGCAAATCCTCGCAGCTCGCCATGGCAGGGCAACGGAACGTGGGCACCTTGGTCACCCCCGAACCTTCTACTGAATGTCCAGCCGTGATCACAGTAAATTGCGATCGGATGGCAGAACAGATGGCACCAAGTATAAGAAGAGCAGTCGAAACTGTTTCTGCGCAATGTATCTCACTTCTACGGATGCGGCTTCTAGTTGCTAGCTCTGGGCAGAACCAGAGTCGCACCACAGCTTTCATCAGCACCACAACAACGGTTGGCTCCAGTGCTTCCACTAAAGGAAGTTTGGGCAGATGGACTCCTTCTTTAAGGCGTTTTGGCGTTTGTCGTTCGAGGCTCCGCATGGCTCCGCTTGCACACATCCAAGTAGGAGCCTTGCGCCTTGCAGTGGAGCCGTTTGGCTTCGGCTCGTGTCTCAAAGTCTGTGTTGTGGGTCTCTGGGCGACAGGTTTTCCAGGGCCTGGACCCCGAACCCAGCGCCCCAGCGAAACTCGCAAGCTTTTCTTGCGACTGGCCTCTCGGCCCGAGCACGCTGATAAGATAGCAGAGGAAGCCTGAGCTTTCAAGTAGCCTCGCAGTAACCTTAACGAGGGCTCAAACCCCTTCAGCTGCGGTCGAAGCTCTTTCTGACCCTTGAGCCTCTCCAAAGCCAAAGCCACGCCGAGCCTCTCCAAACCAAACCCTCGGCAAACCCAACCAACTCAACCCATCCCCGAAGCAAAATCCCAGCAATTCTGTCCGTTGGCCATGGCTGGTGCTGGTGACTGGTGACTGACAGGCTTCGGCGGGGCTCGGGGATGTTAGCTGTTAGCGCACAGTGAGGGACTTCAACAGTGAGGGTACTTGCCATAACTGTGCCGAACATCGCGCCTGAAAGGTCGGCAAGACGCATGTGTGCGCTTGTTTGTGTGATCTTGCTGGCTGCTGGTGTTGCTTGCTGACTAGTAAGGCGATTATCGGTGTTTGCCTGGCAGGGGAATGGAGTCACCACCGCGCCGATTGGCTCCGCCAAGGCCAAGGCTCAGTGCAGAGAGACCTCTTGGAGGGAAGGATTTTGTGCGCTCGCAAGTCCTTCCAGGCCGCTCGAGAGCACCAGCGTCCTCCTGGAGCCTCCAGGCGCTTTGCACGGCTTTTTCGTGCTCAGCTTGGTGTATCCGCGTTGAAGCGCCGCTTATCAGGCGCCGCGGCGGAAACACGCACACCCTCGCCGGGCCTGAGCGGCTCGCGGCGGAGCAGCAGGGTCGACTGGGATTGCATGAGCATCGGGGTTCTTCTCTAGGCCTTGGGGGACCGCAGCCGATGGGAGGAAGCAAGGTGGTGAGTTTTAGTCTGCCATCCTGCGGCAACAGCATGCTGTCGAACACGTAGAAATGACAATGCAGCGCGGTAGACGGTGTATGCCGAAAAGAACATGATGGACACTTTTTCGCCAGACCTCCGTGGCGTCCTCGACTTCGCTGAAGAGCCCTTCGCAGGGTGCTGGAGTGGCGAAGCAGATTTGCCGGCACTTGGGCAGGATTAGAGTACTACTGTTTGTTTCATCAAACAGTGGTACCACTATGGGGTCTTGTCTTCAGGGTAAGGATTTGGCTAGCTGAGCCGCACGGCACGGCCCACACCCGAGGCAGTTCTGCCGCCCGCCATACCGTGCTCTTCCCGCCGCAGTCCTTTGCGTGTTAACTCTCCGCCACTGTGCCATGCTCGTTTGGTCGTTTGGCTGTGGCTCGTGTGTATTTTGGAGTGGGACTCGTGCTCCGTGCGGACTGCTAAGTGCTCTTAGAATATTTGAGGTCAATGCTGGCATAATGCTGAACAGCTGCGCATCATCAGATCTATGATTCGTTTCGAAGTTTTATAGCAAAACTTACGAGTGTTGTGTTTTCGGCGCTGCGACCGCGTTTCCCGAGGTGTGGCACAACTGTGCTTTTCCCTCCCGGCGTTCTCAGCAGAACATGCTGGTCTGGACCCGAACGTTCTGTGCACGGGGTAGAGAGCTGGGCTCCCATTTCTCTGAGCTAGAGGAATCATGTATCTGTCGCCTGTCGGCCTGAGGAATTGTGGCAGGCAACTGGTCACTGATGGATTGAGCGAGACACCAAACGGTGCCAAGCTGGAAGGCCAGACAATCAGGTTTCAGATCCGGAGCTTAAGCAAGGGATCTGGGTTCATGCTTTCAGAGCAGTTACTCCATTCGAGTCCTGTCGTCGACTACCAGCGAACCACCAACCATGACAAAACAAGCTCATGCTTAAAGCAGCCACAGTAGTATAGATGGGAGGAGAGGTGCACATAGATGAGACTCATTCTGTTGATTTTGTGCAGTTGCTATTGAGGTCGTTGTTTGAGGGGTTGCTGAAGACAAGGATGGCGATGCCTCTGACAATGAGACGGGCGATGACGACGATGAGGATGAGGATGAGGATGAGGATGAGGGTGCGCATGCGGGCTTGGATGCGGATGCGGATCTGGACGAGAATCAGGATGAGGGCAGAAGTTTATGGAGATCATGGTGATGACGAAAATGAGTTTTCAGATTGCAGTCGCGCCCACCGAGTCCGGGTCTCGCCGCAGCTTTCTGCGCCTCCGCAGCTTCAGCGGCCCACAGGCACTCCCAGGGACTGGGGCAGCACTGGGCAGCACCTCTCAGCTCTCAGTCGGGCGAGAAGTCGGTTGGAGTTGCAGTCAGAGGACGCGTACGACAGGTCTGCCACCCGTTGCGCCAGAACCAGCTGCGCCCGGGTGCTCAAGGGAGCTGAGGCTTCGGGGTTGTCAAGTTTTGACCTGCGAGGTTCATGGTTTCAAGCTTCGAGTGTGGGCTGTCCAGCACCTTCTCAGCTTCTGCAGCCTGCAGTAGACATCGGGGCTTGTGTATTGGCTTCGAGCTCCGGTTCCAGCAAAGGACGAAGACCTACGTCAATCAGGCCGGAAGAGCTGCTCCGCTCGGGTCTGCTTGGCTCTGCTGTTTTCTTTCGTGCATACCGGGTCTCGGGCATTTTAGCAGCGGCAAGTCTGCCAGGCGCATGCTCAGGCAGCCCCAGGAGCTTTCGCCATCGGAGCACTCTTCTTCGCCAGGGCCTTAGGGGAAGGACTCCCAGGGCTCTTAGGGCCTCCGGTCTCAAATCTTCGAGTTTCTCATTCGAAATCCTTCCGTGTTTGTGCATAAAGCTGCTGAAAAACTCAAGATTGAGCACTTACCGTATCGGCAGCCGTCCTTGTGCCTGCTCCCCCATCGGTTAAGTACCATCCCATCTCGGACCAGCAGCAACAGTCTTTCATTCGAGTGCAACTATGACGTTGTTTCGATGCATGCACGATCAGAACCATAATCGCAATGCTGAGACTTGTCATGATACGTTTGCTGGTCTCATCATCCGCATCCTCTTCATCCTCATCCTCATCCTCATTCTCATCCTCATCATCACATCATCATCATCATCATCATCACATCATCAACATCCTCATCATTATCATTATCATCATCCTCATCCTCATCATCCTCATCGTCACGCTCCTCCTCCTCCTCCTCCTCCTCCTCCTCCTCCTCCTCCTCCTCGTCATTATGATCCTCATCGTCATTGTCATCGTCTTCGTCATGGTCGTCTTCGTCATGGTCATAATCATCATCGTCATCTTCACCGTCATCGTCTTTATCATGACTGCCAGCATCATCGTCATCGTCACCATGCTGATCCCGACCTGCTCAGCTGCACTTGCTGGCTACGTGCTGTCTACACAGAAACAGCCATCTGTGTGCTGTCGAGGTGGTGGGCTTGCTGCTTGCCTCTCTGCTTGTCAACGCGGCCCTGTACCAAAACTGGCTCGGCACAGGAGCCCTGCTGCCTTCACTTTGAAAAGCACCATGATTCTGATAGTGGCAACGAGTGTTACAGCTGCAGCTCGATGATAGCTTCTATGATTCTGCTCGCTTCGGGGACGTTGAGCAAGATGCAGATTGATACTCGGCACAGCAATTGCCCAATCATGCTCAACTACTGCAGGACATGATCTTATCCCAAAACCCTGACCTGCATTCCCAAGCTTCGGGCTTTGCAGGGGTACTGGTCCAGCTCAGCCTCCGAATCGGAACTAGAAATCCAGACTCCCCCCCTCCCCCAAGCTCCTGTGAGGCGGCGCTCCTGCGCCTAGTCCTGAACGCCCCGCCTCTCTGTGCCTCTTCGATGTCTGGGAGTAGGGGCTTGGAGTTTTGGAGCCTTGGAGTTTCGGTGTTCGGGGAGCTTCTTTGCACCAGCTGCGACTGCAAAAACCCATCATGTAGTGGAGCATGATGCGACCTTGCACTGTTCAGAGCTGCCGTCGGCAGGTACGAACGAAGCCATCTGGACGACATCCGCGGCGTCGACACGGACGGCAGGATCCTCACTTCTCCGATCATATGTGGGTCGACGGTCACTCGCCCGAGCAGCAAACCTGGCCCAGCAGTATTGCGTTGAACGCCAGGTGACGGGGTCCCGGATCATCATGACTTTTGTCCGGGCCAGAAGAAGGCCGTGCTCATGCGTGGCAGTGCTTTAGGAGTCAGGCCGGTGTGCCGATGTGTTCCTCAGGCATGCGAGGCTCAGGCTTTGCAAGGTCGCATTTAAAGCAGGGTTCTTGCATGCAAGGAGGGCGGCCAGTCGCGCAACGGCCTCGGCATTTCTGGAGCGCATCCTTTCGATGCTGCCTGAGCACATTCTTCAGGACCAACTGGTGCGAAGTCTCTAGATTCTACATGGCTCGTTGATTCAAGGCTGGATCTCCGGAAGGGCCTCGGACTTTGATGGCGACGGTTGTGAGGACCGGACCCTGCGGAATCCCTTGAGTCGGGACGGTTGTGCGCCAAAGCAGGACGGAGTCGAGGATCAAGACCGGGACAATGACGGAGTCGAGGACAAAATGGACAGGCCCGAGGGCTAGGCGGCAACAAGGCGTGAGGCGGGCTAAACTCGGTTAAACGTCGAATTTGGACTTCAGTCGCCTGGGCAGTGCAAGCAATCCCGTGTGGGCTGTCTCCTCGATGGCAGAGTTTTCATCCCGAGGACTGTGCATGTGAGGGAGGGGTGGCCTGGGTGGCTTTCCACCATCGCCACGGGTTCGAATCAGATACTGTACCGGTTTGGAAGCATGTCAGCATCATGAATCAAGTGCGATCTACTGCTGCCGAGCTTGGTACCATGACTGGGGATCATGACGAACCAAATCTGCGGAACACCAGGTAAACACTACGAGCAAGTGGCCCTCTTTCGGAGCTCGTGTGTCAGGTGTCCCTTCTCTCCTCAGCAGTACAACTTCGTGCCAAGCTCTTACGCATCGTTTTAGCTTACTAGTGGCTTCTGACTTCTTGCTTCGGTAACCACGGGAGCGCTGTTGCTTTCTTAGCCAAGGTCGAATTCTCTGAACGACTTTGACGGAGACGGCTGCAAGGATGGCGTTGAGGAGCCCGTTTCATTCCGATAAGGTCGGGATGCGGCCACTGAAATGGTGACAATTTAGTAAGGGCCAGAGCCACGTACTGTCGTCAGCATCACCACTCTCATCACCATAACCGTTGTCTTCATGCCTGCGTTCATGAAACCTTCAGCATCAGGCATGGGGTTGCCTCGGTGATCAGCAACAAAACGGCGGCGAGTGTCATCAATTTCTGCTCCTCCTGCTGCTGTTCCCCTCCTGCTGCCTCCCGCTTCGGCACGGCCCATCGTCGCCAGCGCCAGCGCTAGCGCCCTCCTCCTCCTCCCCCTCCTGCTCATCATGATCACAACGAGTTCTCGCAGTTCTCCTGCTCCTCTGCTCGTCCAGAATCTTTCCGCCGTTTGGCATGCATGTCACCAGGATCAGGATGATGACGGCGACGGTGTGGCAAATGACGAAGATGAGTGCAGGAGGTGCGGCCAAGAGTAGAAAGATCACTCCAGGACATCCAAAACCACCAATGTGCAGCACCACTACTGCGACAACCAACACCAACACCACCAACAACAACAGCAGCAACAACAACAACAGCAACAGCAACGGCAAGGGCAACGGCAACTGCAACAGCAACTGCAACCAACCCCAACGGCAGCGTCAAAGGCAACGGCAACGGAAACGGCGGCGGCAGCGGCAACGACAGCGACAACAACAACAGCAATAGCAACAGCACCAGCAACATCAACATCAACAGCAACAGCGCCATCAGCAGCAGCAGAAGGAGGAGTAGCCACAACAGCAACAACAACAACATCAATAATCACAACAACAGCCACAGCCACAGCCAGAGCCAGAGCCACAACAACAACAACAACCACAAGCACAGCCAGAGCCAGAACAACAGCCACAGCCACAACAACCGCAGCAAACCACAACGACCACAACAAGCACAAAATACTACAGCAACGGCCGAAGAGCCACAGCCAGAGCCAGAGCCACAGCCACAACAACAACAATAGCAACCATAGCAACCATAACCACAACCACAACAAACACCACAACCACCACAACCACCACAACCACCACAACCAACATAACCACCACAACCACGACCATCACCACAACAACCACAACAACCACCACAGCCACAACCACCACAACCAACACAACCACCACAACCACAACAACCACCACAGCCACAACCACCACAACCAACACAACCACCACAACCACGACAGCCACCACAGCCACGACAACCACCACAACCACCACAACCACCACAACCACCACAACCACGACAACCACCACAATCACTACAACCACCACAACCACCACAACCACCACAACCACCACAACCACCACAACCACCACAACCACCACAACCACTACACCACCCACAACCACCACCCACAACCACCACAACCACCACACCCGCCACCACCACCACCACCACCACCACCACCACCACCACCACCACCACCACCACCACCACCACCACCACAACCATCACATCCGCCACAACCACAACCACCACAACCACCGCAACCGCCACAACCACCACAGCCACCACCACAACAAACACAACAGCCACAACAACCACGACAACTACAACCACAACAACCGCATCAACCACAACAACCACATCAACCACAACAACCACAACAACCACAACAACCACAACAACCACAACAAGCACAACAACCACAACAAGCTCAAGCTCAAGCACAACCCCGACCGCGACCACACTACAACCATCACAACAACCAAAACCACCACAAACACAGCCACGACCACAACCACGACCACGACTACACCCGACAGCAACCACAATTACCACAGCTACCACAACCACCACAACAAGCACATCAAGCACAACCACCACAACCGCCACAACCACCACAATAAGCACAACCACCACAACCACCACAACCGCCACAACCACCACAACCACGACCATCACCACAACAACCACAACAACCACAACAACCACAACAACCACAACAACCACAACAACCACAACAACCACCACAGCCACAACCACCACAACCAACACAACCACCACAACCACGACAGCCACCACAGCCACCACAACCACCACAACCACCACAACCACCACAACCACCACAACCACGACAACCACCACAATCACTACAACCACCACAACCACCACAACCACCACAACCACCACAACCACCACAACCACCACAACCACCACAACCACCACAACCACCACAACCACCACAACCACCACAACCACCACAACCACCACAGCCACCACAGCCTCCACACCCACCACAACCACCACAACCACCACAACCACCACAACCACCACAACCACCACAACCACCACAACCAACCACAACCACCACAACCACCACAACCACCACAACCACCAGCCAGCAGCAGCACCACCACCACTGCCGCCACCGCCAATGCCAACCCCAACGCCAGCGCCGATGCTAATGCCAAAGCCAACCCCAACGCCACCACCGCCGCCAGCAGCAGCATCATTATCATCATCATCATCATCATCATCACCATCTATCCTTTGCAAGAGCAACAGCAAGAGCAACAGCAAGAAAATCAGCGAGAGTAAAAGCAACGGCAACGGCAACCGCAACAGCAACAGCAACAACAACAAGCCATCGCAACAGCAACACCACCACCAACAACATCAAAATCATTAGCAGCAACAACAGCAAGCCAGCAAAACAAGAAGAATAATCCGAATACCAACAGCAACACACCAACAAAACAACAACAGCAACAACAACAACAACAACAAATAGCAACAATAAATACTACCACAGCAACACCAGCACCAACACCATCACCAACACCAGCACAAAAATATTACCAACGCCAATACCAGTACCAACAGCACCGATACCAACAATACGAATACCAACAACACCAATACCAACAAGTCCAATACCAACAATTCCAACACCAACAAGATAGTACTCACAATACCAATACCAACAATCTCAATGCCAACGCTACCAATACCAATTCAAACACCAATACCAATACCAATGCCAACACCACCACAACCGCAGCCGCCGCCAACAACAACGACAACAACAAGATCAGCAGCAACAGCAACGGCAACGGCAAAGGCAACGGCAACAGCAGCAGCAACAGCAACAGCAGCAGCAACAACAACAGTAGCAGCAACAGCTACTGTTGTACTTGTTCTGCCGAGCTGCCGCTGCTGCTGCTGCTGCTGCAGCGTGACGACTGGTCTGCATGCTGTGATCACTGCCGCTGCTGCCCTCACCACGGTGTTGTTCTTGTTTGTTCGTTTGTTGTCCTGGCCAGAACCCGGCCCGGCGAATCCTCGGACCGCGGTGGCTGCTCGCGTGCGCAGCGTCAGCCGCTGGGATGCGAAACTCGAAACGTTCGAACACACCTCGGGCCCGTCCCTGGCAACTACACGATCTAATTAATCTTTTGCCCTATAGTGCTTCGACAGGGGGCCCCGAGTGCGGGGAGTTGGCCATCAAACTTAAGGGAGCTGCTTAGGGGGATGGCAGTGAAAAGGGCACTTCAGGGTATACATAGCCGCCTGCATCTACCCTGCCACGAGCTGCAAATAGCCACCCTGCGTCATCCCGTCTGAGGCGCCACGAAGACACCCAGCATGTTGACAGAGACAAGCAGGCCAGCTTGCACCTCTCGTGTTCCCGAAGCTTTGCCAGATCGCTGCAACACTCGACTATGGCCACATGGCCAAACGAGAGCAAAAGCGGGTGGGCAGGTGCAGGATGCGCCGCAGTCCGTCATCTCAGAGCTCCTCGGCAAAGATTTCCCCTGAGACCAATTCGGGCTCCTCGTTTGCCTGTTTGCCTTGGCCTTCGTTGTGGGGAAGTCGATCATGCCTGCGACAAATGCCGATGATCTTCACTACCCTGATCCTTGTCTCCCTTCCGACCTATTGACCTCCCCAAGGTGGGTCGGCACCCTGAGGACAAGGGCTGTGGGAGTGACTGGAAATAGGTGAGCTTGGAGTTTGTCCCGTTTCTGAGTAGGCTTGTCATGTTGGGGGTTCCCGCATCTCCGCACCGCTCCGCGCTCCGCACCTCTCTTCAGGAGTGCATGGCTCGAGGCCTGGAGCTCAGTTCATTCTCGGAGTTCGGTTTGGGGAGAGCTACGCTTGCTGGTTTTCTCTCAAGATCTCTGAAGAGAGATTTGTACAGGTAGAACTGGGGGCAACCGTCTTGCAGGTGTGCATTTCTGGAGGAAGTGCACCCAAGCAGGGATTGGACGAACTACTGCTGGGCTAGCGGCGGTATCTCCCGCGTCACAGGTGCTGCTTGGTGCCCTCATCACGCCCATCCTTACTGCTGCCAAGGACTGGGTTTCTCTTCTGTCGGGCTTGAGATTGAGCAAGGGTCGTTGGTGACGGAATTCAAGCAAACTTTCTCACAGAAGTCTTTCGAGTCGTAAGTCCCGCTTGAAGAACTCTTGGCTTCGGGTTTCGCGAAGACACCATCACATATCGCTTGGCCTTCAGGAGCTGCTCGAGTGGTTCCGAGAGCCTTGAGCCCCAGCAAGAACTTTGCAACACCCGAGCTCTCCAGCTCTCCTGTGCGCGCGTCTGCCTGCCTGTCTGTCTGTCCTTCGTCTCTGTCTCCGTATGTGTCTCTTGGCTTAGTGGCACACTGGCGATGGTAAGCTTTTGAGCTGTACTCTCTTTCACCACCGACCAAGGTCGCTTCTTCCTCCAAAACCTCCGACGCCCTCCTCGAAGCCATTGCCGAGTTCGGAGGTTCTGGGCTTCCTGTGTGACGGGAGGGTTTGGGCGCTTCGGTTCAGGTTTGTATCCAGGTTTGAAGTAAGTCTTAAGGCCCTGACTTCCGCAGCGCGGAAGCGGGGGGTTTCTTGGAAGGCTGCTGACCGGATTTCAGGCGTAGAATGGCAAGAGCTATGGCTTCGAATCCTCGAAGCTTTCTCGACTGCAAGACACCGATGTGTTTAGATCCTGTGTGACTCACTGTAATTATCACATACAACGTTGCAACGTTGATTTGCTGCCTTGGGCAGGTTTCTGGACAAGCACAGGCGACAAGGCCTGGAACACTGCAAGCTTCTCCAAGTTACGGCTGTTAACAACTTCATTGTTGCTGGGCTTGGAAACAACTATGCCACTATGCACCGAGCTAGATTGCATGAGAAGCTCACCACCGACTTTCAGAGATGGACAAGGCTCGCATGCGCAAGCGTTAACGGAGAAAACTAATTTTTAGGCGCTGGTTTCCACCCTGGAGCCGTTCCGGATCACGGCATGTCATAGCGATGCATGCCGCCGGTGGTTGTTTGGTTGGGTTAACAACACAGAAGCATTTGCTCAATAGCGTTTGATGACGCAAGCAGGGTGCGGCCTTTCTCCTAGTTTGGCTCTTGGTAGCCTCGTTGGCTGTGATTTTCTGAACCATCTCACATTGCCAGTGACATCGGTTAGGCCTCCCTCCCGCCGATGTGTACGATAACAGGTATGGGATAGTCAAAAACAAATTAAATTACGATCTAAAAGCATTTAAATTAGAATCAAACAACAAACTAGCAAAACGGAAGGAAGGAAGAAAGGAAGTAAGGAAGGAAGGAAGCAGAACGAAGCTGAAGGAAGGAAGGAGGGAATAACGGAAGGAAGGAAGGAAAGCAGGAAGAACGCACGAACGGAAGGAAGGAAGGAGGGACGGCAGGAAGGAAGCACGGAAGAAAGCAAGTAAGCAAGTAAGCAAGAAAGCAAGGAAGCAAAGACGCAAGCGAGGAATGAAGGTAGAGCAGTTTGCAATTTGGTTGCCAAGTGACCCAAAACGGCGCGGAGTAGCATTGGCTAAGTGACCCCGGTTTTTGGTAGCTACGTGACCTCGGCACCGACAACCCCCACCAAAACCCTGTTTGAAGATTGAAGCGTGCAAAGTACCTAGCGACTCCCCAGAGCATGCAACACTAATCTCGTCAAAGTCTCATCTCTGCCTGAACTCTCAACCTTGCACCTTAAACTCGCCACCTGATATCTTAAACTCTGCACCCTAAGCTGTCTGTACGAAGCTTAAACCCTAAACTGTGCACATTGAACCCTCCTGAACCCCGCTAAGCCCTAAACCCGTGTGGTTCCCTTCATAGGTCTTTTTGAAGGAACGTTGTACCTAAGCCCTAAACCCTAAACTCAAATCCTCCCCAGAAACCTGCCAGCCTCTTATCTGGGGCGACAAGGTAAAGAACGGCCAGACAGCCTCGGGGACAAGCGTTAGAGTTTAGGGTTCAGGCCTGACTAAGTAGAATGCGACTTTTGCAGGGGGGGCACAAGTGTTCTTAGGTTCAGGCTCTAATGATTAGAATACTGCTTCTTCTGAGGGAACAAGGAACAGGTGTATTATATGTAGGGGCCTTAATAATCAAAATAGGAGAGGCTTTTGCTATTAAAATAGAGAGAGAAAATACAGGGTTTCCTATGAAAATATAGCGAAATTAGATGTTGTCCTATGCAAATAGTACGGGACGACTACGACCAGATTAATATTTGTAGAGGGAACTGTGCGTGTGCCGTTAAATTCGCATGTCATAAGGCCAAGTCATCTGCGGAGCACAACTGTGACTTACAGACTCTCGGGAATCGCTGCCACTTTGGATCTAAGAGACGGCGGGGTCGGATCCGTCTGATCGCCCGCGGGATCTCGTTGATTGTTTCTGTGTTTTTGGTTGGTTGTGTCTTTGTCTGTTGCTGGTCATGGTTCTCCTCTGCGTGCCCGTGCTGCGGCCGCTTCCGATGCTTCTTCGGAACAGAGCGACTCGTCTATGACTTTGGCTGAAAGGAACGACCCAGGTGCGCCGCCATTGGCCCCGGGCCGTTTGGGCTTCCTCGTCCGTCCCTGCTAACTATGGAACTTCGCAGGAACCGGACAAGGTCCGGACCATCTTTGATGCATCCATCATTCCATCATTGGGGTCAACGACAACATCCGAGCGAACGCTGACAAGAAGACAACTGCGCCTACGCTTTATGATTTCCTCTTCGCCAAGCTCCATCTGGGAGAGTCGAAGTTGACCTTGTTCAAGTCGGACGTGAGCAAGGCCCATCGGAGGATCAAGGTGCTCAGAAAGCACTGGAGATAAATGGTTGCCAAGATCAAGAATAAATTCTGGGTCAACAAGGTTGGCACGTATGGTGTGGCTTCGGCGCAGCTGCACTGGGGCAGGTTGGCGCCGATCCTCACCCGCTTGTCCTACCACATTTCGGAGGATCTTTGGGTCCTGGTCTTCGTGGACGGTTTCATGGCTCTTATGGGAGGGCATCAAGGCGACATTGGTTCGGCCACTCTGATGCTTTTCCTCACCTTGGTAGGCTGCCCGATCTCGTGGCATAAAAACGTCCTGGGGAAGGGGAACCGTTGGTTGGGCTATATAGTCGACATCTCCAAGGGCTCTGGCTGCCGAAGGACAAGCTCAGCACCTTGATTCGGGCCCTGGTTAAACTTGCGTCCTGGCGATCTTTCACCCTTCTTTGTCACCTTGATCTTGGCCATCCTCAACTCGGGTCCCTGTATCCCGTTGAGGCTCCAGACCAATGCTCCCTCTCACGGGAGCAACGACGCTGGTGAAGGCGATGACAGGTGGCGATCGCACCGAACCCAGGAAGGAGGATGTCTTTTGGTTCTCAATGGACGTCAAGCAGACGCCTTGGGTTCAAGATCTACTGACTCACACGTCGGCAAAGCGCAGAATCGGGACCTGGAAATGTTAGGTGCTCAGGTAGCCAGCCCCAGTATGCTGGAGGTCCATCTCCCTTTTACCACAGATAACGAAGGCAATGCCTATTCGGCCAGCAAGAGATCTTCCAAGAAGTGGCCCTGCCCGGCCCCGCTGATGGAGTTTGCAGCCCAAGAATTTCGGAAGGGCGTGTTCGCCCATGTCACCCATGTCAAGAGGTGCTCGAACACGTGGGCAAATCAGCTCACCCATTTCCATGTCTCGTAGGAAGGATGTCTCCACTTCCTGGACGCCTGATTGGATTGTCCTGGATAGGCTTCTTTCTTTGAAATCTGGTTCAACAGGATCCTCGGTTGCCTCTGGCGCTGCAGACTAAACGGATTCCACGGGATCTTTCGGTTCCCTTTTTGCTTGTTCTCGGAATCTCGGACAGGCTGGGGGTCGTGAGACTCCTTTTGGTTGCTTTCGAGGGTGGGGTGGCATATTTCCGACCGGTCCCTGTCTGAGCTATGCCTGCCCCCGGGTCCCTCGGAATTTTAACCTGATCTTCCACTACTCGGATTCGTCGGTCTCTCGGGGAAAAAGATGGCCTCAGCTCTCTTCTGCTTTGACTGCACCATGAGTTTTTGATACAAAGTTAATTGTATTTGATCGCTCCCACGCAGGTTTTTCTGTAGCCTTGTTGCAAAAGTATTAGTCTATTTTTTGATACCGACTTGTTTTGATCTTTGTGGGGTATTTTTTGATCCTCCCTAGATGTTGTAAGTCCTTCTAATCAATTTGCATAAATACATATATAACTATACATAACTATACATATATACAACTGTATGTGTATATATAAAATGATTGTACATGTATATGTACATATATATATACACACGAATGTACGTAGACATACATACATGCATACATATAAATAAACAAATACTAAATATATATATATATATATATATGTATATGTATATGTATATGTATATGTATATGTAAATGTATATGTATATGTATATGTATACATATGTGTGAGTTTACGTCCATGTTCACACACGTGTGTGCAAACACGCCCATTTCATGCACTCGTACGGATGTCGAAAGCACAGCGAAATTGCAGGCCGGAGCAAAGAGTTTGTGTTTCATCGACAGGTCGCTGTTGCTTCGCGGAATTCTGTACATCCTCTTCTTCTGCACCGCAGGGAGCACAGAGAGCGCTCAAAGAAGCCGAAAGCCGACAAGAGAAAGACCGGAGCAGGGCCGATGAAAGCTCCCAGGTCTACGCCTGGAGGCAGTTCCGATCTGGAAATCTCTCTCTCAGCGCCTTCGGTGTGTCAAGCTGAAGTTGGGGGCTCAGGCTCATCCACAAACGAGTGTGCAAGCCTGCAAGCCTGCTGCTACAGAGCGTCCGTTCTGTGTTCTGACTTGCTCATATCCCATTCCACCAAGATCACCACCCGTCTCGTTGGCTTTGGTCGTGAATCTTGAGGTTGCAGGTTTCGTTGGGTTCGGAAGCGCACCCCTTCAACTGGAACCCAGTCGGTATCCCCTCGACACAAGCTGCTCTCAGTGGCCCAGCAGTCCCATACACCTTAAGTAGTGTCATGCTGGCGAGTCCTCACAGCCGATACAATCCTTGCTAACAGCTTCTTGGCTCGGGTCTTTTTAAAGGGTGCAGGGCTGGAGGGAGGATCGGTGGATGCTCTACTGGCCCCCTGTTTGCGGACGTGTTCGAGGACTGCAGCTGGTTGCATGGGTTCGCCGGTCAGCGACCTTGAACTGGATTGTAGTCGATGCCGTCGGCCGTGTCCGCGGAGGTTCGCAGAGAAGGCTGCAGGAAAGACTCTCCTCAAGCCTCTCTGCGAACAGCGAGGAGCGGAAATTGCATCCCGAGGCCTCTACCGCGGCGGCAACGAGCCCTTTGGCCACAGCACGCGGTAGGCCGTCCCATCCATCATCCATCCACTACATCTTTGTCCGAGAAGCAAGCCTGAATCTGCCAGCTTGGCTCTAGGTCTGCAAGATGAGCTCCATCTCATCTTGCCGCGAAGTGAGACTCGCAGAGCTCATCTGGACACGTCCGAATGTCCGATGACAACTTTTTCACAGCTGTTTGCTTTAGAAGCCGTGTATTATGCCTACCATGAAGCAAAGTATGCTATACATATATACATACAAGTATGTAGAAAGATGTAGATACAGATGCAGACACAGATATAGATATGAATAGACTAGACGATAAACAACCGGTGAGAGTGCAAAGAAACTTCAGATGTTTGCATGGAAAAGACGTGCAATTCTGTACCTCTGCCACTCAGTTTGTCGTAGATGCCACGGCTTGCATAGCAAGCATGGAATCGCAATATGACGGCAGCGGAGGCGGAGACTTGCATCGACCTGTGTAGGGTTTCACCTTGTCAGCGATCTAACTTGGGCCATTTGCCCTTCTGCCAGCCGCAGCGTAGAAAGCGGGCTTAGAAAGGCAGAGGCGCTAACTTCGCCCACAAGGGCTCCCAGAGAGCCCCTCAGCGCCACGACTTTCGACTTTCGTGCGGCTGGCTTTTATTTAGCGCCCAAGCGACCATGAGTGTCGCTCGCGAAAGGTTCTTGCCGAGCCTTCAGTGGATCCCACATGGTTTTCAGAGCCAAGCTACACCACAGTGGGGCAGAGATGGAGGGCTCCGCGTGGACGTCAGGGCCCGGCCTTGAGGCATCCGAGGGAATGACCCAGTCACAGGGGGTTTAAGCGAGCGAAAAAGAGAGGAGCGACAGTAGAGGTTGCATGGCCCAGGCAGTAGACCTTTGGCCAGCTGCCGGTGTGGCTCCAGAACGGACGTGATAGAAGAAGGTATGGCTAATTTTCAGATGAGCATGCTTGTCACTTCTCTGTCCCGATCAGAGTGAAAGCAGCCAAGCAAGGGAAGGCACGAGTTCAGGCCTTAGTTGCCTTGGCCCTAGTGGTGTTGACGGCTCGAGGTTCATGCTTTAGTTTTCGCGATTAGGTTCAGGGCCGCGCTTTGGGCTTGAAGCTCGGAGACACCGAATGGCGGCCCGGGAGTCCGAAGATGACTTTCGCGTCGAGGCCGCTCAGACAAGACGGAGCGCCCGAATCCCAAACACCGTTCCCCGAACTGCCGACGTTGCGAATCCCAAACACCGTTCCCAGCACATGATGGGCCTTTGGCCTCAGCAACTCGGGCCTCGGGCCTAGGCCTTCCATACAAACTCTCAGAGACTGCGCTCTGCGCGGAGGCGGAGCAGCTCCTGGGGCTGTTCCGCGAGGCGGTGGGCCAAGTCTCACGGAGGTCATAAGAATCCATGAGTCGTTCCTTCCTACTCTGACGTGTAACGTCCCGGTTTGAGTTTTCAGGGGTTGGAAGGTGCTGCTTCTTGGCTTCTATGTTTTCTTTAAAACAGGATGGCTTTTGGGAGGACAGGGGTTGTAGGGTGAGTCTTCAGTTTTCCTGGTCTCAGAAACTTAGAAGTGCTGTGACGGCATTGTGGCACATCATGTATCGCTTGTTCGCGAGGTGTTGGCACAAGAGCTGGTGTCTGTCAAGGCCGCTGCAGCGTCGCAGTTGCACGACGCTTGAAAGATGAAACTCGTGGCTGTCGGACTGGACTTGTCGTAGTCGTAGTGGCTCAATCTAGTCTGATCCAGTTTCCAATATCAATCGCACTCGTACGGCCAAGAAAACTTGCATGCCCGGTATTGGTCGCACCTTCATTTCAAGATTTTTGGCGCAAGTCGCCGCTCTTCTGGTATCTGGCTACTTATCGCAACCTTACCGCAGAAAGTTGTAGGATTGCAAAGAAACGCGGCTCGAATGTGACACCATGGGCGTCGGATCCGCGAAAATCGAGAGCCATGAGGAGCGGGGAAATTGGGTCCGCCTTCAGGGCTTGCCGAGGGAAATGAGACTTGTCCCAGCTCCGTGTTGTGAGGATTGTGGGGTTCGAGAACTGTTACCCGGGATAGGGGTCAAAAAAAAAATAAAAAAGGATCAAAAAAAAATAAAAAGGGATCAAGAAGAAAATAAAAAAGGATCAAAAACAAAATAAACGCTCAATCAAGAGCTAGGCTTCCTGGTCCTCTGGTCCCCTGGTCCCCTGGTCCTCTGGTCCCCTGGTCCTCTGGTTCCCTGGTCCTCTGGTCCCCTGGTCCTCTTGTACTCTTGAATCCGTGCAAATACACACAAAAACTTTGCAAATACACACTAATGTGTGCAAATACACAGTAAATGTGTGCAAATACACACTAAATGTGTGCAAACACACACTACATGTGTGCAAATACACACTAAATCCATACAAATACACACTAAATCCATACAAATACACACTAAATCCGTGCAAATACATTTTAAATCAGTGCAAATACACACTAACTGTGTACAAATACACACCATATGTGTACAAATACACACTAAATGTGTACAAATACACACTAAATGTGTACAAATACACACTAAATGTGTGCAAATACACACTAAATGTGTACAAATACACACTGAATGTGTGCAAATACACACTAAATGTGTACAAATACACATTAAATGTGTACAAATACATACTAAATGTGTACAAATACACACTAAATGTGTACAAATACACACTAAATGTGTGCAAATACACAGTAAATGTGTACAAATACACACTAAATGTGTGCAAATACACATTAAATCTGTGCAAATACACACTGTGTAAAAATGCACACTAAATCCGTGCAAACACACACTACATGTGTGCAAATACACACTAAACTAAACCCGTGCAAATACACGCAAAATCCGTGCAATACACACTAAATGTGTACAAATACACAGTAAATGTGTACAAATACATATTAAATTTTGAGTAAATATGTGCAAATACACACTAAATGTGCACACACACACACACACACTACATGTGTGCAAATACACACTACATGTGTGCAAATACACACTAGATGTGTACAAATACGCACTAAATGTATACAAATACACACTAGCTGTGTGCAAATACACACTAAATGTGTGCAAATACACTAAATCCGTGCAAATACACACTAAATGTGTACAAATACACACTAAATGTGCACAAATACACACTACATGTGTACATATACACACTAGATGTGTGCAAATACACACAAAATCCGCGCAAATACACACTGTGTGCAAATACACACTAAATCCGCGCAAATACACACTAAATCCGTGCAAATACGCACTAAATCCGTGCAAATACACACTAAATGTGTGCAAACACACACTAAATGTGTGCAAACACACACTACATGTGTGCAAATACACATTTAATCCGTGCAAATACACAGAAAACCCATGCAAATACACACAAATGTGCGCAAATCCGTGCAAATACACACAAAATCCGTGCAAATACACATTAAATCCGTGCAAATACACAGTAACTGTGTACAAATACACACCATATGTGTACAAATACACACTAAATGTGTACAAATACACACTAAATGTGGACAAATACACACTAAATGTGTGCAAATACACACTAAATGTGTACAAATACACACTAAATGTGTACAAATACACACTAAATGTGTACAAACACACGCTAAATGTATACAAATACACACTAAATGCGTGCAAATACACACTAAATGTGTACAAGTACACACTAAATGTGTACAAATACACACTAAATGTGTGCAAATACACACTAAATGTGTGCAAATACACATTAAATGTGTGCAAACACACACTACATGTGTGCAAATACACACTAAATCCGTGCAAATACAGACAAAATCCACAGTAAATGTGTGCAAATACACACTAAATTTGTACAAATACACACCACATGTGTGCAAATACACACTAAATGTGTACAAATACACACTACATGTGTGCAAATACACACAAAATCCGTGCAAATACACGCAAAATCTGTGCAAATACACACAATGTGTGCAAATACACATTAAATCCGTGCAAATACACACTTTTTGTCTCCACATTTATTTTTATATTGATCCGTTTTTTTTTTGATCCTGAAGTTTTTATTTTTTTGATCCTTTTTTATTTTTTTTTTGATCCGGCAGCCCCTCGGGGTGGGGGCTTCTCTTGCATGAAGAGCAGCACTGCCCCAGAAGTGGCGTGGAGGGCGGAAGTGCCAACTGGTCTTTAGGCAGCTTTAGGGCAGACAATGCTGTATGCGATGCTTGTTCGTCTCGTCATTTTCTCTTCCTTCGCGCTTTATTCTAAACCCTACACCCTAAACCCTTCCTTCGAGGAAAAGGGCCTTCAAAAAAACAACACCCTTCGTGCTCTATATTGCCTTTATTGTGTTTCCGTACCATGCCGATCGGCGGGACATGTTCTCGCAATGCTAGGATGCACTTATCGCGGCATGGTAGCCGCATGGCACCGCATCGCTGGATGACAGGAGCTGGAGGTCGGCAAGCGTGTGGTCGTTATGGTGTGGCTCAGCTCATTGGATCCGCTTTTCCCTCCCGAAGCTGCATTTGCTCCTATCGCGTAGCGCAAAGGCACGGCCTGGCCTCTTGTGCGCTCCAAGCCTGCGCGACGAAAGGGGCTAGCAGCTTGGGTGCAGCAAAGGCTTTGAGAGTTGAGAAGTGTTGCAGTGGCACATCCGAGAAACCCTCACGTGGAACCTCTCCAGGCTTCCTTTGTGACCATTGCGATGGCGAGGCCGCTCGTGTGCAGTCAGCACTCGTCCAGGGGCCTTTCACGCCGGAGAATTGCTGCAGCTGCGGGCTCCGGTGGTCAGTGACGTTGTCAGGTCCTGTCTAGTATTTCGTGGGGTTGCATTCTACCTTGTTAGGTGCAGCAGCATGCGTTGACAACTCCAGCCATGCACTGGCCAGAAAAACTCCGCACAGCTACAGCTCCAGCACTGGAATCCCAACCGACAGAGGATTACAGGCTTCACGCTAGTCTAGAGAAGATGACCTCTCCGGCCATGCTCTGTCCATTCATGCTTGATAGCTGAAAAGCGGCCCTTCGTCGACACTAGGAACTGGAGTCG